TCAGTGAAGAAGACTTGTATCATTTATCATCACAGTTAGATTCCAGTTTAGACGGAAACATTTCATATGATGAGTTTATAAATGCAATGTGTGATTAGCAACGTCTCTCTAGTCTAACTTCCCCGTTGTAAACTATCACGTGATTAGCAACGTCTTCTCTAGTCTTACTTCCCCGTTGTAAACTATCACGTGATTAGCAACGTCTCTCTAGTCTTACTTCCCCTGTGTAAACTATCACGTGATTAGCAACGTCTCTCTAGTCTTACTTCCCCTGTGTAAACTATCACGTGATTAGCAACTTCTCTCTAGTCTTACTTCCCCGTTGTAAACTATCACGTGATTAGCAACGTCTCTCTAGTCTTACTTCCCCTGTGTAAACTATCACGTGATTAGCAATGTCTCTCTAGTCTTCCTCTGTGTAAACTATCACATGGTCATAATGGACTGCTGCAATGTGTGATTAACAACGTCTCTCTAGTCTTACTTCCCCTGTGTAAACTATCACGTGATTAGCAACGTCTCTCTAGTCTTACTTCCCCTGTGTAAACTATCACGTGATTAGCAACGTCTCTCTAGTCTTACTTCCCCTGTGTAAACTATCACGTGATTAGCAATGTCTCTCTAGTCTTCCCCTGTGTAAACTATCACATGGTCATAATGGACTGCTGCAATGTGTGATTAACAACGTCTCTCTAGTCTTACTTCCCCTGTGTAAACTATCACGTGATTAGCAATGTCTCTCTAGTCTTACTTCCCCTGTGTAAACTATCACATGGTCATAATAGACTGCTGCAATGTGTGATTAATTAAACATCTCTCTAGTCTTACTTCCCCTGTGTAAACTATCACATGGTCATAATAGACTGCTGCAATGTGTGATTAACAACGTCTCTCTAGTCTTACTTCCCCTGTGCATGGAACTATAAACCCCAGGAAGAACAACGAAACTAAGAGGATTAAAAAAACCTTTGTCTTAGTTTATATTACAGTGCTTTCGCTTTTGTTTCCACAACATTAGTCATACTCCATGTTAGTTGCCGCCGATACGACCGTTTCAACCGCTTTGCTGGAAACGGAAAACTTGAAAAAAATATTTCATATCTGCGCAGTAAAATATTACGTTCACAACTCATGCACAAACAAGTCGGTCTGCAGGGTGACCTTCAGTGTACCGGAAATCATGCAACGGGTCGGAGTTTTAGCGAGTTTTCATAATTTTCAATGTTGTTTTT